CACACGATGAGTATTGTGTGAGAAGCTGGCGGTGCCGAAGAAGTCGTCGCTGTCATGCAGCAGTTACCGAACTATGACGAGTACTTCGCAGATGATAGTGACCATGTGGTGTACGCTGCATACGACTGCTTAGACGTTGACGTTCGCCGCACAAGTACGCAGGATAGCGCAGGTATGCCGTACAATACGTGCAGAGGCGTGCGGGAGATATCGCTGCCACGTTGTGTGGCCGTGTTGGTGTTCGGTGCGTTGGTCATAGCTGCCAACGTCATGGCGGCGGTGGGGGTTGGGCAGGATCGTCCGCTGCAGCAGTTTAGGCGCATGGCTTGCTTTTGGTTGGATATCTTCGTAGGCCAGGAATGCCGAGGAATGCATGACATACGAAGATATCACACCGATGTGATATTTTCGTACGCCAGTAATATTTCGGCCTTCATGGCATATGAAGATATCAAGCTGAAGGCGAGCCGTGGAGGCGAAGTGCTACAGCGGACAATCTTGCCCAGCCGCCACCGCCACCATGACGTTGGCAACGATGCTGACGACCAACACGCCGAACACCAACACGGCCAACCAACGTGGCAGCAATAGGTGCTGTGTACCGCCCAGCCGCCATGACCGGGAGTCTGGCCGCCGCTCCTTCATCTCCAGTTGGAAGCCGCCTCCAAGTCGAGGCGGCAGCATGAGTACAACGGGCAACAGCGCAGTTACCACCGCCTCAACAAGTAAGCAAAGTAGGGCAGTCAAAGGCGCACGGAGCAGGGACAGTCGTGCTGTCCGGCGAGGCAGTGGTGTTATCATGGTACGGTAGCGATGCAGCATGTCATATGTACACACACAGTAGTACACCGGGCTACACCACACCGCCCTGCTGTCCAGTCGTTGTGGATCAAAGTCATACCGGGTCAGTAACCAGGTAAGACTTGGGTCCACACCTTGCGGATCCGCGTCTTACTGGGTTACTGACCAGGTATGACTTGGATTCAGAAGGACCGCATAGCAGCCAGCAGCAGGTGCGTGTGGCCGTGTGAGTGTGTGTGGTGTCGGGGGGGGAGTTTTGCGTGCAGCAGTAGTGTGCCATAATAACACCACCGGCTCAGCGGTTAAATAGCTATGTGACGACACCGCTGTTGGTGTACCACGTAGGCATTGTTATGTACGATTGCAAAGTGTATGTAGGCTTGCCGGTGTATGCCATGACATGCGTCGATGCATAACCTGTTATGCCCCGTCATCGTGTCGAACCTCGACCAACGAAATCGTAGAATCGCCTGCAGCAGCGTCGGAGACTGTAGACCTTGTGCCGGTCCTAGAATTTCGAGGGTCGTGGTTCGAAACGAGGACAGTGACAGGGCAGAACATAAGAGAGGAAGTTATGCGTCGGCGTATGTCAGAGCAGAAACGATGGTGCATTGAAGAGTGCACGGTGCACGAACGTGTGTACCGTCCGCTGAGGCAGCGGTGTTATCAACGTTAAATTCTAAATGTTCTACACAGTTTAATATTAAATACAGTCACCATCTGCGTCGGGGACTGTACAGCCTACTTAAGCAGCGCCAGCTTCGCAGACGATAACGACCGTGTGGCGTACGACTAACGACTAGACGACTAACGATTAGACGCCGA